AAGAATTAATGCATTTTTACTATACAAGATAAATATTGCGTTTATTTTGATGGTCTTAGCTCCACCCCTCAAGCCCCAGGGGAGCAGGGACCGATAAAGTTCACAATTTTTGTTCCCCTTTACCCATAGATGATGTATGCCAAAATTGGTTGTATTGGTTCAGTGGTTTTAGAAAATGCACGACGAAGGACGACGGAAAAAATACACATAAAAATAGGTCATTCAGGTGACCTAATAAAAATGTAAACATGAATAAAAAAATGTTATCAAATAGTTTTAAAAGACACAAGATATTCCATGTTAATTTCCATAGTCCCCGCCCACTGACGTCAGACAGAAAGACAGCCGCAAGAGAATGACATGCATATTAGGCACTCGATCTTTTACTTGGCGAAATTAACATTTAGTTGTAAATATCGGGAAATCAACTTACCTAACTTTTAAAGAGTTATCACAGGGAAAACAAAAAGAAATGTAAATATGAAAAAGTACATGTACTTAATTTTTCGAGTTTGGTAAACAAAACTATATATGACGTCACATGACGGCGAAATAAGATATAGATCAATCAAATATCTACTACCAACAATGCGAAAACAATTAATGTGTTCCTAATTTCACAAAATATCTCACCATGCGCTATGACGTATTTTTACATAACAATAATATGTGTAAATCACTAATTAAGTACTTGCTTCTGCAAGGATCAGGGATAAAAAAATGTACAACTTGAAAAATCCAGCTATCAACTATATCTTGTATCAATGAAGTAAAATCAGATGATGAGGTTTATACTTGGTTGTTTTGTTCATTTGATTAATGTAAATAATGAACACTTTGTACTCTACACGGTTTGCATTTCATTTCCGATGATGAGATCGAGACTACAGAAAGAAATGAATTCTCCGAGACGGTACCAAAAAAGGAAAACAGTAGATCATGTGTTTAGTTGTACCATTGAGAACTGTGACAGATCATTTCGTTCCTTAACATCTCTCGATAATCACAATCTCCTAGGTAACTGTAGTGACAGATCAGAGAGAAACCTTCTAGATAGATGCAAAATTATATATCAAAACAAGTCGTCAGCTTTGAAAACAACTTGTCCATCATATGATGAAGGCATTATAACGGCGGAATGTACAGAGTAAGTTAAACCAACTGGATGGGCATTGAAAATGAAAAAGTACTGAGGACCAAAAAGAATACCTTACCGAAATATTCAAGGCAGGCAAAATTACTGGGAAAAAGGAAGATCCAAGTAAAGTGGCGAAAGACATGCCATATGTACTTGTAAATGGTAAAAAGCGTTTCAGAATGGAGGATTACTTAACACCAGCATAAGTAGCAAGTTTCTTTTCAAGACTCTCTCAGAAAGACAGAAAATGTGATACTGGAGATTTCTTGGCAGCATCTTTTGATAGGAATTTGAATGATTCTTTCACGTATATAATATTTCAATTGCTAATACATGTATATTTATTGAGGGAAAATACATGTGCTCTTCCCATTCTGTGAAACATTTTTTGTTAAATATTTTCAATTATTTACAAAATCTGATAGTCATTGTTATTTTCAGTATGCTAGGGGAACTTGATTTTAATGATCTTTTGTGTACATTTTCATTTAGCTGTGAAGAGCAGAATTATGAGTTCTGATACCTCCTATGTGTCATGTTTCTTGAGGTTCATAAATCTTTTTAGTCAAGATTACATTGTATGCATGTGTATTACAGATTGTATTTCTCCTCGTATCTTGCTAAATATTTTATTCCACCCTGAAATATAGCAAAATTGCATTTTATCGCAAATTAAGTGCCAAAACATACACTTATATGATTTCATGCCATGATTTCTCTTACGTGCAATGTTTCTTCATAAATCTTTTCATGCATTTAAAAAGGTCTAGATTCTGCCTATATACTGTTAACTATTGCATTCATTTCATGTCTTTTCCAAATTTTTTAAAACGAGCATGAAATTTTGCAAAAATGCACTTTTTTGGCATAGTGCCAAAAAATACAATTTTAAGCTACATGTATGATCGCTCTTTTGTATGAAGTTTAACCTTTATTTTTCAAATGTGTTTAAAAAGTGGAGATTATGCTTGTTATTGGCGAACAATTACATTTCTTCTCCATATTTGATACTTTTTTTAAAAAATACACTCAGAAATAGAGTAAGTTGCACTTTTTGGCAAAGTGCCAAAAACATAACTTTCTTGCCATGGTTTCTCCATTAATTTTATTATGCTTTTTAAAAGTTAAGATAACGCTTGTTTACTGTTTATAATTGCATTTATTCCATGTATTAGCTAAATGTTTTAAAATCAAGCATGAAATAACAGCAAAATCCACTTTTTGGCACAGTGCCAAATTATAAAATATTGCATGTACAGTATGCAAACACCTTTTATCACAGAGTTATAAGGATTGCAGGTATAAAGAGATCTATCTGTAGAAAAATGAAATTTGTAACCAATGTTTGCTATTTATATTAAAATTAAATTTACTGTGTCATTAAAAAAGGCCAAAAATGGACTTATTTCACGGCTACAAACCACCCTTAAGATGCCGTGGTTGGTTTCCATGGCAACGGATGAATATTTTTTGTTTTTGATTCGTATTTGTGCAAGATAGATGAAACAAAGCTAGCACCCCCAAAATCAAAGAAATCGGTGACAGCAAGTGGCCAGACCTCTTCTAGTTTCTTTGATTCTCACATAGAATTAGTGTTAAAGGTCATGTGTACACATACATGTAATCATTTATATACATGGTGTCACAGACGCGCAGTGCAAAGAAACAGAGAAGTGGAACATTTATTTCATAATTTGGTAATATTTACATAAACGTTAATTTTCAAAAAAAAAATATTTTTACAAAAGAGAAATTCTTAAAATTTAACGTAAATACTGATCATTTGAATTATGTTTTGCACCTACTTTATCACAGACTATGATGTAGTCAAATGGATTAATTTGACCATGTATTCTCCTTCTCCTTATCTGACTTATTTTGAAAGTACAAATAGGAGATGTGCATGGTTTGGGTGAGGATATTATTCTTCAAAAACTTACTGTTGTCCGTGATTTTATGTCAATAGAAGATGACATGGGCTGACACTTCAGATAAAAGCAGAATAGGTCAATCTCTTCTGTTTTGTTTTGTTTTTGTTGTATATTTGCAGGGATCCATCAAATACATGTTTATATGTTTACTTGTCGAACTTCCAAGCCTGCTTTATTCATCGCATTTGATAGTTGTCGCACGTTAAATGCATTATGTGATTTTGGTATTTATCAGAAATCTGGCAACTGTATCGTGAAGCCATTGCTTTTGAAGTGGTGTTGATTACCAAATATTACATGCATTTGGGAATAACTTCATAGTAATGTGCATCCATGAGACAGATGATGAATAGAATTGTGTCTCTTTCATAAGAGGACGTAATTTGTGGGAATAAAAAGATGAAAAAGGAACGGTAGAGAGACTTATGTATCATTATTTAGCCCCTCCCACAGACGAAGTTTGGGGGGAGTATATAGGAATCACTGTCCATCTGTCTGTGTAATCTTGTCCGGGCTAAACCTTTGCTATAGAGAATCATTGGAAGTTCATACTTGATACATGTACAGTCACAAATTGTTTATGACCTGAGGGTGTGTCATGACCTTGACATAAGGTCTTTTATAAAATTTTAGGTCACGTTTAGAAAAATGTGTAATTCCTGTCCTGACCATATCTTGTAAAGGAGGGCATTTTAGATTCTACTCCCAAATATAACCTGTGGTCTGAGTATATATATTGACCTTGACAAAAGGTCATTTCAGGAAGTTCAAAGTCATTGACAGAAAAAAATGTATTATTCGTGTCAGGTCTATAACTCTCAGATGAAAGTTCAAACTTGACACAAAGATTGCTTTCATGATCAAGAACCAAGGTTGTACCGGCAAGTTCAAGGTCAGTAGGAGATAAAGTTTTATACTCCAGTCCATTATTCTCTAATACGTAAATATTGGACGTTGAAACTTCAATGATTATGTGTGAGGTGATGTTATGTTATTACCTTAATCCAAGGTCATTGTGGCAAATTCACGGTCACATGAAAAAAAGGTGTTAAATTCATGTCAGATCGTGATGGTCATCTGAAAGTGAAAACTGTGGCCTATAGATATTTTTGATGTGGCTGGACAATGTGATGATCGTTTGTTTTTTTGTTACGTCCCTCTCGAGAATTTTTCACTCGTATGGAGACGCCACCACTTGCCGATGGAGGGCTGAAAATTTACACATATACTCGGCACTTAGGGGCCATTGAGCAGTGAGGGATCTTTTTCAAGCTAACACCTACTTCGACACGGGACCACGGTTTATACGGTCTCATCCGATAGACAGACCGATCCCCATGTCCCGCAGCGTGATGGCCGTTGAATTAATGTAAGGACTGCCAGAATATAAAAAAACATATAATGGCATCATTGGGCATTCATTTATCCAAGGTCTTTCAGATGAGACCTTAAACCCGAGGTTCCATATCTAGGTAGCATTGACACGATAAAGAATCCTTACTGCTCAAAGGTCCTGAGTGCCGGGTAAAGGTCTAAATTTTACTCTATGAGTAAAAGATTATGTATGGGACGTTAAAAAACACACAATCATTCATCAGTCAATTCTTGAATATGTTATGCTGAAGTCTTTTGTTCTGTTTGACAATATATCATTTTCTATATTATGTGCAAAAGGTTCCACAGTGTTTAAGTTCATTTTTTTCTCTCGCACCACTCAATGTTACATATGAGGTTGTATGTACAGTATATACAAAGACAATATACAAAGAACCCTTGAAAATAAAGGAAAACAGCAGTTATTGTAAGGGACAGTCTTGTTCATACATGTATACTGTACATATATAATGCTAATTTAAACTTAATGAATACATAGGAATCAGCAGTTGACAATAACTTTGAAAAAAAATGGTGTAGTGTAAATGTGAACTCACCATTGATTGCTCGCTGATGGAATCAATGCTGTTGACGTATAAACTAACATTCACAGTCGAAGATTCATCTAAAAATAGAACAATAGGAAAATGCTCAGACATCTAAGTACTAATGAACAGACATCAATGTGTTTTACTTACGTGGGGAATATACATGCAAATAAAATATTTAATCTGTTTTTGTTGGCCTATTAAAATTCTAAGTATGCTTGAATTGATCGTAATTGAATTTCAATTTATTTCATTTTAGATTAGAGGGCATATTACTCTAACTGCAGAAAAATACGAGAGAATCAGAATTCTTTAGTATGCAGTGTACAGAGAGTTTTTATTATTTTCCGCGGTACGAAGCAGAGCGGGAAAAATTATTTGTTCATTTTTGACAAAATGGGCACATATACTGGAGTCACGTGGTGATGATTGCTTGTTGTGGATTAGCTTGGGAAATCAGTTCTAGCCCATCGTATTACGTTTCAGTTGAAATACAAGACATATACTAGAGGTAATGTGAGCACTGAGCTCACAAAATGATACCCCCGTCTCCGATATGTATATCATTACAAAGTCAATTTTTTTCTATGGGAGACCCGAAATAAGTGTCCGATCAAAAAGTAAAATAAGAGGTGCACAATTGGAGTATGAGGTGCAAAATGTCACTATGTAATAAAGATTCTGTGAAAGTATCATTAATTTTATTAGCTCACCTGAGCCGAAGGCTCAAGTGAGCTTTTCTGATCGAAATTTGTCCGTTTTCTGTCGTCGTCGTTGTTAACTTTTTCACATTTTCATCTTCTCAAAAACCACCGGGCCAATTTCAATTTCAACCAAACTTGCCACAAAGTATCCTTGGGTAAAGGGGATTCAAGTTTGTTCAAATGAAAAGCCCGAAGGGCTTTATGGTAAATTTGATCTCTTACCAAATTTATATCCCGATAGATGTTTTAAAATGATTCCTTATTACTTATATTTACATTTGTGACTTATTCATATTTTACATTTGCCTGATTATAATCTTTAACGCGTGAAATGTTTCATTTTTCAAACTTAATGGCACGAGTTTGATCTATTGATCGCGCGTTAACCCTTTATGACGTCACTGAGAAATTACGTCGAACATTTATGACGTGAGGAAACCGTGTTTATACGGATATATTTACATTTGCTGTGTTTATTTTTACTAAGCCAACTGTGGAATTCATTTGAAAGTCATTTTTGTGTAGAAATATACACGGTGAAACTCGCGCTAAAGTGACGTCACAATGAGGCTACAGAGACGTAAATAAAATGTAACGATATAAGACAGCAAGAAATTCAAATACTGAGTATATTATTGGTGCTTTTAAACTTGTAAAATACAAAATTAAGGAATGTTTTTAAGTTTAGTGTGAATTATTGGTGTGTAAATCACACAGACTTGCACATAGGCATATATTTTTCACGAAGCGCTAGCGCGCTTTATGAAATATGCCTACTGACAAGTCTGTGTGATTATACACCAATTAACTCACACAAAACTTAAAAACATTCCTTAAATAGATATACGTTGTTTTCAATAGTGTTATATAAAAGAAAACATTTGCAAATGTATTTATTTACATTTGCAAATATTTTTCTTAGATGAACCTATTGAAGAGAAAATATGTTCAATTCTGTATGAACTTATTAGGGGGTCAGAGGTCATGGCGTGACCGAATCACACAGCGAGATGATATCTTGTCTACATATTTCTGTCCCGGTGACATTGGTTTCGGAACTTCTAAGCCGTTAAAGCGATGAAAAAGATAACATTATTGAAACATATATGTTTTTTTCGTTCAACAAATGATCATTAGTTCTTTCTTCGAGGAGTGAGGAATTTCAATTAGCCTAAACTTTTTAACGTTGTTTATTACTTTTATTTACATTTGAGATGAATATTCTGAATAGAACTGCATTTATTACACGAACGGCCCGCCGTATTGCTATGTTGTGACGCGTAATGACCTAGAAGCTGTTTGGTCTTGAGAGTTCGCCTCGCTCCAACATTTGAATACTTACATTGATGTTCAGCAGTCCAGTTCAGGAATATCTGTTCGTAATGGAAAAAAAAAACAATGATCGCTACTGAGAATAATCTTACTTTTATTGTATGAGTTCTTTATATATGAAGTCAAAAGCGGTGGTATCGTCTTCAGTTTACATACCTTCAAAGGAATTTCGGGTTAAAAAGGTAAGCGTGATTTTAGGCTTATTGAAAACATTCTTCACACGAAGAAAGAACTAATGATCATTTGTTGAACGAAAAAAACATATATGTTTCAATAATTTTATCTTTTTCATCGCTTTAACGGCTTAGAAGTTCCGAAACTAGTGTCACCGGGACAGAAATATGTAGACAAGATATCATGTGTGATTCGGTCACGCCATGACCTCAGACCCCCTAATAAGTTCATACAGAATTGAACATATTTTCTCTTCAATAGGTTCATCTAAGAAAAATATTTGCAAATGTAAATAATTACCATTAAATATCTCATTTAGATTGAGGTCATTGCATCATGAATATGCATTACTAAAATAAGGCCATTCCAAGTTTTTTCTCTGTTTAGCGTCCACCCATCTTTCAAAAACCTACCTACCTATCCGCAAAAAACACACAAACCAAAGAATAAAACAAAGAATTTATAATCATAAAAATGAGATCAATCAAAGGATTTGATTTCATTCATCTGTTTTTAGGTCACCTGAGTCACTCAGGTGACCTATTGCTATCTGTTTTTGTCCGTCGTCGTCCGTCGTGCGTTAACTTTTGAACATTTTTAACTTCTTCTCTAGAACCGCTCAACCAATTTAAACCAAATTTGGTATATAGCATCTATGGGTGAAGGGGAACAAAAATTGTGAATTTCATGGTCCCTGCTCCCCCCGGGGCCTGAGGGGTGGGGCTAAAACCACCAAAAATAATGCAATCTTTAAAAATCTTCTTCTTTACTCCTGGACATCAAGCAGTCAAACTGTTGGCATCATTGTAATAAGCATTGAGCCCTCTACTAAAATTGTGAAATTCATGGCCCCAGGGTCAGGGGTTCTGGCCCCAGGATGGGGCTATATAGATCATATAGTGATTTTCATGGCCCCAGGGTCAGGGGTTCTGGTGTTAGGGCGGGGCTCTATTGATTATATAGTGAAAATTCATTGATTCTTTGAAAATCTTTTTCTCTGCTACTGGAGATTATTTAAACAAACACAAGTGCATGATTATGATAGACAAGGATGCCTCTTCCAAAATTGTTAAATATATGGTCTCAGTTTTTGGGGTTCTTGAGGAGGGGGGGGGGCTCTATTGATTATATAGTGAAAAAGCATTAATTCTATTAATTAATCATTAATTTATCCTGTCTGCTCCTTAGAATAGAGTTGAGCTTATAGATAAATTGCTTAGCTATCATGAAAATGGGTGCTTCGAACAGAATTTTTAAATCTTGTGGTCCTAGGGTCAGGGGTTCTAGCATAACGAAGGGGGGGGGGGGCTTTTGATAATATAGTTGAAAAGTGTTAATTCTTTGAAGTCCATAGTTATGATGATGAGGGTAACTCTTCCAAATTTGTAAATTTCTTGACCCTTGGTCTTGGTTCTGATGTTAGGGTAAGGCTTTGTTGAATCTGTAGTGAAATGCATTGTACCTGTGAAATTCTTCTCTGCTTCTGGGCATATCGGAAGCAAACTGAGTAAAAGTTTAAATGATATGAGTAAGCGTATTTCTACCAGATTTTTAAACATCTGGACCATTCGTCTAAGCATTCTGGTCCTGGGCAGGGCTCTATTAATTTGTATTCTACTGAGAGAAGTTATTCCCCTTTTCCATTCATCTTTGATAATTAATCATTGTAAATAATGTATTTGAAAGGTTAATAGAATAAGATAATTATGCAAGAATGTTTATCGTATAATTAAAAAAGTACTTTCTTAGTTTTAGTAATCAGGTAGACCTGTAAGTAATAGATAAATAAAAATGAGACAAAAATATCTTATCTTATTAAAAGTTCTTCAAAGACCATAAGAGAGGTCAATGCTAGAGGTCTTAATATGGGTTTTAAAACGGTACAGAAGCACTAATAGTTTGTTAATAGTCTGCATGGTGATAGTGTTAAGTAGGGGACAGTATGAGTTGATACTGAATACTAGACTAATTATTTTGTTGATCCTAATCTTCCTACTTCTCTTGCTTTAGGGCAACAATGCTTCATCTATCAGTGTATTTAACTTCTAAATTGTTGTATTATACTCAGGTGACCGTTAAGGCCCTTGGGCCTCTTGTTCTGATAGAAAGATCTATTCTTAAGCAAAACCAGGATATTAAATGCTTAAAGTTTACCTAACATGACATATTGAAGACAAATTTTAGAGAAATTGGCAAAATTCAAAGATTTTGACTAGAATAACCAGTTTCAGGTCGCCTGATTTTGTTTGTTTTTTCTGATATTGCGTGTCAAAAACCTAGGCGCACGCGGACGCTAAACATAGAAAAAAACTTGGAATGGCCTAATGGTATAACTATGTCTTTTAAGTGTCAAGCTAATAATTAAACAAGTATGTTTTTCGTTACATTTAGAACGGTATAATAATGAAGGAATTGCTTAACCACAATTTGATAACACTAAATGTAAGAATTGTAGGGAACGATCCTTGTGTTATAGAGAAGCATATATCTATTATTTCTAATTTTGTTTTAGTTATGAAATACTCACTGCTCTCGAAGTTTGGAGGAATTCCATTGTCATACTCGTCAAACATTGCTTGAATAAATTCAGTCCTGCAAAGAAAATATAATTATTAATAATGTCACCTATACAGAAACAAAGTCAAATGGTTCAATAATGAATTTTCCTAAACAACGCGTTCTACGGGCCTGTGATGATTAAACTTTTTAAAATCAAATTGAAATTTGGGATACAGCTATGGAAAGATAATGGTTGTTCATTTTGCCCCGTTTGTATGAATTTTGGCCCGGTCCATTATTAATAGCCGTGTGTCTTTTTACTTAAATTTTGATAACGTACATTTTAATGAAATTTGGAACTGTGTTGGATGGAAAGGATACATATAGATTAAACCAGTGGTTCATATGATTCAAGACGTATTACGGCCTGTTACGAAAGAAGATTTTTTTTATATTTGGGAAGAATAATGATTTTTTATAACTTATACAAAAACCATTGTCTTTATAGTGCAAGCACATCGTAAATTCCCACTAACAATGGGTCGATGGTAACTGGATGAAACTCGATTTTTGATGTTTTACAATATGTTTCTGCCAAATTTAATTCTAGATCGATACCTATGTTCCGCTCTCTGATTTCACAATATATTAACGCGACAATGTAATGGAAGAAACATTATACTGTAATGTAAAAAACACTTCTATATAGTCCCAGTAAGTGCCAATGTGAATAATATTTGAAAAAGGAGTGCTTAAAAGGTTTAAACTAAATAAAGATTGAAGGGTTTGTTTAAACAAGAGGCCCAAGGGCCTTAACGGTCACCAGAGTATAATACAACAATTTAGAGGATCCATAGAGTATAAAATGAACTGAAAGGTGAAGCTTTGTTGCCCAACAGCAAGAAAAATAGGGTGATCAGGATCAACAAAATAATTAGTCTAGTATTCATTAACAGTTAATGAATTAGGCTCTAATCTGTTCCCCATTTATCACTATCACCATAAAGTATATTAATAAACTATCAGTGCTTCTGTACTATTTTGATTCCTTGTTGAAATCTTTAACATTGGCCTCTCTTGGTCTTTGATGAACATTTAATAAGAGAAGTTATTTTTGTCTCATGTTTATTTATCTATTACTTACAAGTCTACCTGATCATTAAAACTAAGAAAGTACTTTTTGTATTATACAATAAAAATTCTTGCATAATTCTCTTATTCTATTAACCTTTCAAGTACATTATTTACAGTGATTAATTATCAAAAGCAAATGGCAAAGGGGAATAACTCCTCTCAAATTAATAGAGCTCTGGCAAGGACCAGAACACTTGACCAAATGGTCCAGATGTTCAAAATTCTGGTAAAAATACCCTTCCTTATTAAAACTTTTACTCTTTTCGCCTCTGATATGCCCAAGTGCAGAGAAGATTTTTAAAGAAATAATGCATTTTTACTACAGATTCACTATATTATCAATAGAGCCCCCCCCCCCTCCCCACTGAGAAACACCAGAGCTTCTCACCCTGGGACCAGAAGTTTGCTCATCATAAGTAATCATTTTGTTTATCTGCTTAATTAAGGAGCAGACAGGATTATTTAATAGAATTAATGCATTTTCACTATATTATCAAGAGCCCGACCCTTACACCAGCACATCTGACCCAGGAGTCATGCAATTCACTACTCTGGAAGAAACACTCTTGCTTATTATAACTATACACTTAGCTTCTTTGCTTTTTAACCAGAAGCAGAAAAGAAGATTTTCAAAGAAATTTTGCTTTTTCACTATATAATCAATAGAGTCCCCCCCCCCCTTTTCACCCTTGACCCTGGGGTTTTGAAATTCACAATTTTGGAAGAGGCGTCCTTGCGTATCATAACAATGTACTTAGTTTGTTTAAATAATACCCAGAGGGAGAGAAGATTTCCAAAGAAATAATTCACCTTCAATATAGGATCTATATAGCCCCGCCCTAGCACCAGAACCCCTGTCCTTGGGGTCATGAATTTCATAATTTTGAAAGAGGAATCCTTGCTTATCATAACAATGCACTCAGTTTGTTTCAATAATACCCAGGAGCAGAGAAGAAGATTTTTAAAGCATTAATGCATTTTCACTATATAATAAATAGAGCCCAGCCCTAACACCAGAACCCCATGATCCAGGGGCTTTGAAATTCACAATTTTGGAAGAGACATCCTTGCTTATCATTGATAACAATGTATTTAATTTGTTTAAATAATACCCAGGAGTAGGAAGAAATAATTCACCTTCACTATAGGATCTATATAGCCCCGCCCTAGCACAAGAACCCCTGTTCCTGGGGCCATGAATTTCACAATTATGAAAGAGGCACCCTTGCTTATCATAACTATGTATTTAATTTGTTTAAATAATACCCAGGAGTAGAGAAGAAGATTTTCAAAGAAATAATGCACTTTCACTATATGATCTATATAGCCCCGCCCTAGCACCAGAACCCCTGACCCTGGGGCCATGAATTTCACAATTGTGGTAGAGGGTTCAATGTTTATTACAATCTTGCCAACAGTTTGACTGCTTGATGTCCAGGAGTAAAGAAGATCTTTAAAGATTGCATTAATTTTGGTGATTTTAGCCCCACCCCTCAGGCCCCAGGGGAGCAGGGACCACGAAATTCACAAATTTTGTTCCCCTTCACACATAGAAGCCATATGCTAAAATTGGCTGAATTTGTTCAGCGGTTTCAGAGAAGCTGAAAATGTTCAAATGTTAACACACGATGACGGACGAAAACAGATAGCAATAGGTCACCAGAGTGACTCAGGTGACCTAAAAATCATAAGGTACATTAAATCTGGACGAAGTGGGATTCTATCTTATCATGCCGTATTTCATTGCATTTAGATACAAATTGATGTGTTACATGGTAAAATTTGAGTACATTTATATTTATGTTTTGTCATTTCATTTTTTCATGCTTGCATTGAATTTTAATACAGATATCAAAGTAGAGATATGGGTAGATTTATGGGTAGAATGTAAAAAATAAGGCTGTATTGATATGAAAATGTCATGACAAACGTGATTTAGCTAAACTACAGTCTGTACAATATCTCTCTGTCGGTTTTTTATTTTTTTTTAATTTCGAGTATCGCATGACCTTAATAAACTTTCCACAAACTGAGTGAAAATTTATTCAATGTTATAATTACAATGTTTAAGGCGGCCGACAGTGGTTTTCATTGCTCAAAATTAAGATACTATGGCTTAAAAAAAATTAATTACAATTTCAAATAATTGAGTTTTTTTTTTTTTTTTTTTTTTTTTTTTTTTTTTTTTTTTTTACAATTAATCAACTGATGGGTAGATGGACGTAGTAATGATTTGTTTATGACGTTATGATGAAGTGAAGTTATTGAAGAGGAGGTCATAAAAATGTTGTAAAAGAAAAAAAGTATGTAAATTTTAATATACATCATTACATGCAGTAGTTGTCATATTCTGTAGTTCTACCACAAAAACAGGAATTTTTTTTTTTTAATTTTTTTTTACTTTACATTTGAGCTGCCTCCTCTTGGAAACCAAAAGATAGAATATGGTGTTTTTATGTATAATGAACAATATAGTACAAATCACCATATATTATATTTTGAGCAAAAAATCTATAGTAGTATTTGTAAAATTTGATTTGAAGTGCAAAAAACTAGCACTTTCCCATATAATCATAACCAGACGATAGATTTTTTTCCCTAAACTTGGCATGTACAAGGAAATTCAATGCAAGTTACATATGACAAAAATTTAAAGAGTTTTTCTATTGTAGTTTACAGAGAATAAAACCCTTGTCGGTTCACTGAAAGGAATGAACATAAAGGATCTAATTATATGCATAAATTTTCAGTGGTTAAAACAAATTCTGTTCTTTTTTTTTTTCAAAGAAAAAACCGTGAAACTATTGAAACAAAGTTTAATCTATGACTCGACATATCTTTGGCTCTTGACATGCAGAAAAAAGTGCAGTTTTTCCAATAAGCATATTGGTTGAACAAGTTGTATCTTTGAAACCTCACACAGTCAAACTTGTATTAGTATTAAAGAATATGTTTTTACAATTCATGTAAGTTTTCAAATAGAATTATTTTAGATTATAAATGTGACATACAGTCATAATGTAAGCATTTAACTATGTACATTGCACGGTTTCCTTTCGGTCACAGTCTCCACACTGCGGCACTATCATCAATAAGAGATTGCTTTTTGAATATATAAAACATCGTTGTATCTCTAATTATTTTTCATGGTTGAAAAGGTGTTTGTCAATTTAGTAAAACAAAACTAAATTCCTTAAATAAGCTGAATCAGCTGATCATATATGGTTTAATCAATACAGTGAATGAGTTACAGCTAAACTACTGATCTTAAAGTCGATGTAATTGATAAGTTGCCAATTCATTTAAGTTATCCTAGGCTTTCAGACAAAAAAAACTACAATTTCAACAAAAGAATTGCAGTTCTCCTGGACTTTTGAGTTTCAATTTTCAGTCATCTAGTTTAAATTTGAAAATAAAAATATAACATACAGTTTTTAAAACAAAAAACATTACGTTATGTCAATATAATTTAATTTTAGTTGTACCGCGTCATTTGATTGGATAAAAAAAAATAAAACTATATCGTAGAACCTGTGTTGCCTATGTCACAATGACTTACGTCAGAAACGTATCAATCCGCTTGACGTTACATTTAAAATACGTACAATCTGGAGGCATTTTTGAAGGAGAAATTGTCTTATTTTTTCTACATTTAATGATGGAAAATTAAATTATAAGGAATGAATTTAATAGCTACCCAATTATATTGGTATATAATCTGGGTTGGGGCAGATTACGCTTTATAAACAGCGAAGCTTAAGTAAATATGAATTGGTTTCAATGGCAAAATGTTAGAATTTAACTGCCTCTCTGAGATTTTCATTACAAATACTATGGCGCATCAGAAAATAATGCATCAGATGTACGAGGGATGGGCAAGCTTGTGCTCTATGTTTTCTAACAGAAAACTTGACTATGAATTGAATATGAAAACTCATTAAGATTAGTTTATACAGATAACATAACAAGTATGTAAGCTCTTTTGGGACTTACAGAAATCATCAAGAAGTTTCATATGGAACAACCCTGCCCTTCGCGTGGCATGAAATACGATACACATCGTTGATCGCTTGTGTTTTTAAACTGGACATGGAATCAAAAATGGCAAAATGAAAACAAACTCCGAATGAGATATAAAACCAAAATTATTTTATTTTTTTAATTTTTTAAAGTAAAAGCAGTAAGCGAAGAGATCTCATAAGCATATTATTACCGTCACTATCAATTAAATTTTTGTTGAATGGTTTATGGTGTAAGATTTTTTTTTATAAGAAACAAAATACCACTGATACAAGACAGGTCTTGAAAAAATACGTCTAGGTATATATGTAAATATTGCATGTTAAAATCCATAACGTAAAAATATCTTCCCTATATAAAAAGATCATCAATTTATTAGCAAACTTTAAAAAATAAATCAACTAATTACATGTCATTAAAAAAATAAGACTAATTACTAGTAATAGAATTTAAATTAAAGGCATTTATTGATTCTTACCGTAAAATGCTTCCATAGCAATATACTGAAAATGGTGTCAGGAGATTCACACAAACAAACAGACACAAAGTCGTTAGCTCCATAGCTGAAAGCTCTGTCTCAAGTAGAGAACTTCCTCTTGTCATCGGTCTTGTTCAGGAAATCATCATTCCATTATCGTATGTAAAGTTATGTACAGTAATAGGTGGAGCTCTACTGCTGCAGTATTTTATAACTCATCCTGCGAATAAAAAAAACTACCATGTATACTTTTGAGAGCTTTCATAACAGAATGATATACTTAATAAAATACAGCCTACAGATGGTGCAAAATTTCTATTGATTTGTCTTGCAGTAGTGTTGTTTTAGAGTTAGGATTCTATTGCCTATGTATTGGTCTAAAGCAAAACTGAAGTTGACAGAACCAATATCAGTTACACAAAGATCCCAATTTAAAAAAAAAAAGGGAATAGAGATGATGTGTCGGTTCTTTTCTTGTAGCAATCCAAGAAAGAACAATAGAGCGTACCAGTAACTGAAGAATAATGTTACAAATTAAGCAAAATACGGTCATTCTAATTTGAATAAGAACATGCAAACTTTTTGAATTAAAAGCGAGTTCTTGTATTGCCTCTCGAAATGAGTCTCGGATACCTGATTACAGTTATAACAAAGATACGTTAATCAAAAGTTATTAAATTAGAAACAGTGCAAGTCGAATTTTTGCAGAACAGTCATCAATTCAACCATATATAGTAATTTAACTCGAGGGATTTGGGGGACTCTTGTTTGTGACGGTAAAACTAGTGTTACGGCCCTTGACAAATATTGACCCAGGTAGTTTAGCCTCCTTTACAAGGAAAGAGAATCCAAATGGGCTCGATCCCTATACCTGTCATACCATAAGACAGAAAAGAAAAAAAAATCACCTGTACTTAATGATTTCAATGTATCTGTATGTTTAAGAATTGCAGGATATGAATGGATCTTTTCTACTATTTTCCTTGCAAAACAATTAAAGCAGAGATTTTTTACCGGGTGGTAAATTCCAGGTGAGGGAGGGGCTAATTTTATACAGATGTGAATGCCTTGAGGGTAGCAATCTACCTGTGGTCGTTTGTCTCCTAATCCCTATACACTGTAAGTGATTTAATACACAGTAGAGTACCCAAGAAGTCAAACTTTACCTGTCAGTGTGTTGGGATTTTGAGATGATTTTAAATTAGAAATAAAAAGTTGTAAAAAAAAAGTTTAATCTCAATGATTTTTAGTAATTTGTAATTGTATGTGTGTCAAAGCATCCCCATCTATTTAAAAATTATTATTCAAAGTATTTGTTGAGCTTTGAAAAAAGTTATACCAAATTTTGATATATATTATTATTATTATCATAAAGAATATCATAATTATTTCAAATACTAAAGGTGTGTATATATATGTTATCAAGCTAAAAATTCCATAGTTATACAGCTTCTCTATTGTTTATACCAAGTGTGGTAAATATCAAAGGATCAAAAGTTAATTTGAAGGTCACCACGAGTGCCAAACAAGGTGTACAGGGTATACACAGGGACTAGTAAGTAAATGTCAAGTTCTAGCACCCAATGATGTACCTTAATGCACTTGATTGACAGGGGTACACAGACCAGGTATTTTTTAGGGTGGTGCTTAAAATCTCTGCCTTTAAGTGTTATTATATTTCAAAGTATACACTTGACAATGTCTGTTTTGTTTAGCATTGTCAAAGTCTCAAGAAATGGAAAAAAAGAATGAAAAAGTAAAATAAAAAATTAAAACAAATTAAGCATAAGATTCAGCATTTTAACGTTATGATCGTTCTTTCTTAATGTGCATAATAAGTTGTGTGCAATCGGGTTCGGAATTCTTTCTTCGACTTGAACTTAACTGCTGCATGAAAGTATCAGCAGTAAATATTTAACAAATTTTAAAAGCTTTCGAAATGTTTTGTTTTATTTAATGGAATTAATTAAACCACGTTTCGACGATTGCGACTGTGCATTTACATGTACGTTTCGAATACTATTATCAGTACTTTGGTCAATTCCAGTTCCTAGGGCCAACTTCGAGTCGCAGTGATCAAGTTTTGGGAATAAAAATAATGTCCCTATTGAATATGTTTTCTTTTTCTTATTTTTGAGAAAATTGTTTTCTTTTCAAAAAAGTGTTTTTCGGATTGTTTAAAAGATAATAACTTACAATTTTTTGATGTTACATGATATCCTGCTCTGGTGTAGACTGAATCGGGAAACATTGACAATTGATAAGAATTTTGCATGATACTGCCTTTTACAAACAACTGTTTGCTTTTCTTTAGATGTAAGTGATGAATGTGTTGTACGAAACAAGCCATCTTTTGCGAGAGGATGCTCCGCTTTGCGATGTTCTTGTTCATCTTCTCCTTTAAGTTTAACAGGTTCAACAATCTCTAGCCATAGTATAGAAATGAAACGGTTTAGAGTTATCCCTCTGTTGTCAAATTGTTTAAATACAAAAATTCATTGTAAATAATGTAATTAACGGGTCATTTGATTAAATGATAATACAATAAAGAACGTTATATATATAAAAACAAACTAAAAATAATTGTTTGGTTAAGACGAGCGATGTATGCTCAGGAACGCTTAGAAACGGATTCTTGCTATTGTTGACACTTAAATATATTGACATAAAGATTATGTAAGTAGCCAAATGGCCATTGGTTTCGGTGTATATACTTGGTATCCCAAGTTGTCAGACGACGAAGTGCTGTCGGACAAACCAAAGATTTTATTGTGTAAGTTGTTATCAGGCAATTCACCATGCAAGCATTGCAATTGTTAAGCATTGTGTGTTATAGGTATAGTGTTACCAAGTGGTTGTAATTGTTTGTACAGCCAAGTGGCCAAAATTGTAATGGTAGTGCTGCTGACATGTGGCCAAGTTGTATAGGTAGCAATGTGTCAAGGACTGATGACAAGTAATACCAAGTGGCCAAGTTGTATAGGTAGCCAGGTGGCAAGTACTTGTGACCAGTATCAAGTGACAAGCTACCAAGCTGTACGTTAGCTAAGAGACAGCACCATTTCCCTTTGTTCACTTAATTACAGCGCTAGGCAAGTGACATATTTGTATATATTGAATAAATTACGCACTAGGCAAGTGTCCATTATATTTGTATATTTTGCTTTGATCTGTATATTTTGCATTTATCATTGTCCTTATAAGACTTGGGCCTTAACCAAGTACGAGCCCAAGGTGATCGCACGGGTCCCACACGTTACAGAAAGTTCAAGAACCGTTCGAAACAGACATTGAAAAAAAAATGTCCGCCGGCAATCCCCAGCGATTTTCCCCTATTACAGAGACATTCTGTGGTAAGACTTACATACTTGCTGTACTAAGTTTGAGCCCAAATGTTATGCATTCCTGATTAATAAAAACATGTGAAGATAAGAAACAGTGATCGATCTAAAAAAAAAATTACAAACATTACAAATTTATGAACAGGGCATAATACACGGACCATGTAAATTCCAGATTGGGATCAGGTGCCTAGGTGAAGTAGGCATCTTCTGTTCACCGATCACATTGGCCGTGAGCCCTATGTATTGATCAGGTAGATGGAACATTCCATAGCCATATCCATTATGAAAAACAAAGGCCTAACATTTGGTATGAAACACATCAGTCAAAATACTACCCAATGACAGGTTATATTTGCTAACAATGTCATTGTAAAGACCATAAAATTTACAAAATGCTGTCTTTAAACTGGATTGTTGAAATCCCTGTATCATACTTATCTGTCAGTATCCTGACTCGGTTTAAAAATTGATCGCACTCGGGGCATCCTCTTGAGTATCGAGATGTTGGGAGATGTAAACACCACATGCAGGTGATAACTGGATATTACTACATAAAAAAAGAAAGTTGGTGATTGAAAAGCTGATGTCATTTCGTTTGTCATACAATTTAGTTGTTAGTTTGTTCTTATCGTCCATAATCAGTCAAACATCCAAATATGAAACAAATGTTGCAGACTCTGTGATGTCCTTTATTTCAAGTTCACTGGGATATATCGAGTGACATATGAATGGAAGTAGCTATTGTTAATTGTCGTCGATATACCTATATGTCGAGTTGAAAGTCACAGCAAGTGTTTTCTTCTCGTGTAGAAGTTTTTAAATAAATCCTGCTTCAGAGGAATATAAAAACAGGTCGGCTAATAAAGAAGCACAATTAGTGCCTATCAAAATTCCAACAGTTTGTTGGACAACCTAGTGTCTGAAGACTAGATAAATGTTGTCAATAAGGAACTCAAGCATCCTTGGAAAATCAACTTCAGAGTTTCGTGTATTATTGATGGCATCAAAAATATTTTTAGACCAATTTAATTTACTTAGATAAAAAAAATAATAACGCGGGTGTTATTACTTTCATTTGGGGTAAAACTCTTAAAATTGAAATTTTTCATCACATGTGTACAATATTGTATTGGTTACCTCTTGTTTTCTTAATTTTCTAGATGGGTATTCGGGATATTAGAGTAGAAGTTACAACATCTTTGTTCGAATGTGGAATTTCTGGCAAGAAGTACAAGTGAAAATGGACCCGAAAAAGGCATTTAGGTTCTCATGGAGATCAGAAAAATTATTTCAATTTGTAATCAATGCGACAGAGAGTTGTTTGTGTTTCGTTATCTGTTACTTCGTCATGCAAAAGTTCATGCTTCCGTAAAAGAAACACATCTGTGAAGTATGTGGTAAATCATTTTCTATAGTACTGGGGCTTTGAGCGATCACCAAAAAATTAAACATTTCAATGAAGGATTCTTATGTACTAAATGTGATAAGAGATTTAAAAATGCATATCATCTACGAAGACATATTTGGACCCACCAGGAAGAGAAAACGAGTTGTAAAAAGTGTTTGAATTTTTTCGTTAAATGAAGAACCACGAGAAAACCTGCTGCAATACATCTAGAGAGGCAATGGAAACTTGTGAAAGTGGGGAAAATTTCTAGAAGAGAGATACTTGAAGGAACATATCAAATACAAACATAGTTCCATAAACATTCCTTTTGGAAAAAAAATCCAGAATAGGATTGATAATAATTAACGGGAAGCATCTTTATTTTGACATGCAAGGCAGCATTTACTCTACATTATATTAAGTGTAGTTATACATGATAGTTACAATACATTATATAACTTGTTC